TGCCGCGGTGTAACTCATCTCTTCTTTTTTTTTTTGCTTGTCGCATTTTGTACCTCATGACTTGCTCCGCGTCTTGATCTTTTGAGTAAATCTTTAACTGTAGTCAAAAGTCGTCTAAAGCTGTGTTTCTGCGTTGCATATCGTTTTTTTCTTGTTGTGTAAGTACCTCCTTCTCTATATATAAATTTACGCTTTAGGTTGCCATGCAGAATACAAACCCTATGGGCAACCCGGTAAGCTCTTGAGTCACCGCTGTGATTTCAAACTTGTTTTGAATTGCCAACCCTTATAGAACATGCCACCCGGTGGTTATCCGCCTCCGAATCAAGGCCAGATGCAACCTGGCATGGGTTATTATGGCCAACCAGGTCCGGCTCAAGGTCAGCAAGCTCCAATGGGCATGTCAGGACAGCAGATGATGAGTGAGTTTTCTTTTTCGGGAAGCTGAGATTACGCAAACTTTCTGGTTTGAAGTGGGTAGCGGCTCTTCTGGGATGCCAATGGGTTATCAAAGCGGTGTGCCGCCAATGATGCAGCAGCAACCTGTTCAACCGGCTCCACAACCTCCTTCAATGATGCAACAAGCCATGTATGGACCGCAAGGAGCTCTTGGTAAGTGCTCTATCGCTATAAAGGAAATTACACAAGCATCATAGAACTCATCTTTGCAGCTACAACATCTCGACCGTATTCGGGAACCTCAGCTCCAGCTCCGGCGGCTTATTCAGCCAGCTCAGCTATGCCAGTCGGAATGGGAGGAGTACAAGGTCCAGGACCGCAATCTTATCCCGGTCAACCGCAACCAACTCAGCAGCAGACATCTGCAGCTGGTTTTGCATCGCAGCAACAGCAGCCAGCGACTGCATCTGCACAGCAGAGTTATCCTTATTCTCATAGGTAAGCTTAATCTGCTTCAAATTCTTCTTATCGTAATTCCAAATTTGGGCATGCTGACGCTTTTCACTTTGGTCTGCTATTTTTGGTGTTCGCATAAGTGCTTTTTGGATGAAACAATTTTTGAAACTTTTGCTCAAATGCTCTGTCAAACATTATTGTCTTTTACCCAAAATCGATGGCGCAAAAACGATGCATTACATCGATCTGAAGATGAGGCAAATGTGCAAATTGGCGGCAATCTATTGCAAACAGCAATTATCTTCTTACATGCGT